GCCTTAGAGTCACTGCCTCAGAAAACAACAGGTCATTGCCTTCCAGATGATTGTGAGAGGGTGTGAGTGGAGCTCAGTGAGCTTGCCCGGCATGTATGAGCCCTGGGTTCCATCTCTGGTACAGCACAAACTGGATAGGATAAAGGCAGACATGGACGCCCAACACTTGAAGGTAGAAGCAGCCATGTCAGAAGTTCATGTCTAGCTACTTAGATCAAGACCATTCTGGGACACATAAGACCCTCTCTCAAAACTATGTGAGAGTAGAGGCGCCCTGACCTCTGTGTGCCAATGCGTCCCAAGTGACACTAACGTGTCCCTCTTCACCACTGCACAAAACCACGACTTAGAGAAGGGTTGTAGACCCAAAGTCACCTGGCAAGACAGCACAGGTGTAGGTGTTAATGCCAGAGACCCCACAGCACCATGGGAGTCTTTCTGAATGATGACATTGTCTTAACCCTCCGGATGCCCTTACTTACACACGTTAACATTTGTTAGCTGCCAGGTGACTTTTCTTTTGTTTCTTCCTTCCTTTCTTTTCTTTGAGGGTGTGGGGGAAGAGTAAGAGGGAGGATGCCGGAAGGTCCTCTGCTCAGGTTCACACTGTTTCATTTGTGGTCATTGTTCCTATTGTGCCACCAGCTGACAGGTAGAAAGCGTTCCATACATATGGCTAAGAAAGTAAATCCCTGACTTAGCGTGGGAAAGAACGGAGAGCAGAGAGGCTAGCTACCCAGAGCGATGCAGAGACTTAAAAACAAAACAACATGAAAAACACCAGCACCCAGTAGATCCTCAAAATACTCAGCGAATAACTGAATCCAGGAAATTCTCAGATCAAGGACGTACAGGAAGATGTTATAGACGTTGGCAGTCTTCCGGAAAACTTCTAACTTTGCATCTCATTCTGACTATTAATTTAAATTATTCAGCTAGTACACACATTCATTTGTTCCTCCCTTCATTCATTCAGCAGCTCAGTTAATGCTGACTGATACGAGTGATATGCCAGATGTTGTGCTGAGTGCTGTGGATTCAGAAACAAAACACCAGCACCTAGTCAAGGATGAGAAAACCCACGGCAACCGTACTTCGTGTGCCATAAAAAACCCAGACCCAGGGTGCTCAGTAAGGGGGGTGGCCTGAATGTGGGGCATGAGAGGAAAGTAAGGCCGTAATGGGTAATTGGGGAGAAGCTGAATGGAGGCATCCAGGCAGAGACAAATGCACACCCAGACGTAGGTGGGTGGCAGAGTGATCTCAGATGAGCCAAGTGGCACAGGTACAGCTGGGAAATCAGGTGGTGAGAGGTGAGGCTGGCGGGATGGTACGGAGCAGGTCTCGAAAGAGCCAAGCCGCCCTGCGGGCAGGACCTGGCAAGATTTATTATACATGTCACCCACCCAGAAATGTGGATGAAGTACAGACTCAGTCTAGCGAAGAGATGGGAGTTTGCATCTCTAAGGAGGCCTTAAGTGATGCCTGATACAGCGGGGTGTACGTCTTAGACACAGCTCAGGAGGGTTACCACAACATCACAGTTACATTTTGCCAGGAACTCTGTAGCAGGGTACAGGGGATGGATGGAGAAAGGCGATACCAAAGCTAAGTACACAGTTGCAAACAAACAAACAAACAAATAAATAAATAAATAAATAAATAAATAAATAAATAAGAGCATCTAAGTAAGGTAGGAAAAAGAATTCAGCCCATTGGCTGATAATCTTTGAAGTCAGGGCAAGTCTCTCTCTTCCAGGAACGGCTGGCTACGATGGGGACATGAAACAATAAAGCATCAGCACACACCACTCAATTCAGAACTCCGGGAACTGAATCTTCCTCGCCTTTCTCTGAGTCTCAGACACATCATCTTGAACCCCACTAACATCCAGCCAAGGCGGCCAGATAAAGAACCAGCATCATGCCGGCAAAAGGATTTCCATACCAAAAAGGTAAAGCCAGGCTTTGTAGCTATCACTGGATACCTATTTCAGGAAATCTCAGGAAGAGCAAGAAAGTTCTGGAAAACAACACAGATGTCCACCAAATCCATGAACAACTTGTCTGTTTAAAAACACAGTTTTGTAAACAAGAAACACCTGTACTGTTGCTAGCATTTTTCTCTATCCACCTTGATGTGTTTCTAAATTGAAAACTTATTACAGCAATTGTAGCAAAGGTCTGCACAGCAGGGAAAAGGCAAGTCAGAGTACAAATATTTCCCCCTTCATCACACAGAAGCCAAAACACACAACTCCTAATGAGATGTTCCTCCAAAGAAAACAAGAGTCAGGCTTTGCGTTTCATGTACTATGCTGGTCCCTATGCTCTCTCCAAAGACACACGAACTCAAAACAACCAACCAGAATACCCTCTGCCTGCCACTCTTTGCCCACACAATCTTGTAACCCAGCAGATCTCCAGGAGACACACAGGTCAAGCATGGGCAGCCACAGCAGAATGCTGGGACCACATGTCCCTCTGCTTTAGAGGAGCTAGTCTCATATCCAAGAAGACAAAATACAAAACAAAACCAAAACAAACAAACAAAAAAACACACACACAGGCACCTACCTTTCTCTTCAGCAGTGGGCAGCCTCTTCACATTTACTCCTAGGTGGAAAATCTGCCTCCAGATCTCCGAGGTATGGTGAAACTTAAGAGTATCCCATTCATTCAGGCAACCAGAGGAGGGTAGAGTTTCTCCACATCAGACTTTGATGCTCCCAGGCTCACACAAGCTTCCAGAGATCAGGGCAGAGGTGAACTGTGGGCTGTCCCTCAGTGCAGGAAGAAACTGGGAGGCACCGTGTGGCTGGATGTGGAGGCGGAGGCTGGGGAAGGGAAGTAATCTGGGGACTGTAATAAATGAGAAATTCTCTCCGCATGATTTCCTGTATTTGGTGCCTCTTGCCTCTCTCAGGCTCCCCAGAGGAAATCAGAAATTTAAACTTGTCCTTTGGCCACTGAGAGAGGAGAGAATAAACATGCTAAGAACCATGAAAATACAGAGAAGCAGGCAGCAGGCAGGGGGTGCATAGGCCGACTACCTTTCTCTTAAACCAAGTCCTTTCTATCTGAAGTTTCTCCAAGTGTTTAACTTTGCAAAAGTCAAGGGTGCCTTCATCCTCTTCCATGCAGCTCCTGGCCATGTTCCAGAAGTTGTGTGGCAGAGTAGCCAGTGAGAAACTTGTCAGCACGGGCTCAGGAAGAGTCCCTGCCCTCAGGAGAGACTAGCACTTCTCTGAGAGACTAGCACTTCTCTGTTTATGGGAAGGCTCGTGACAGTCTTTAATCTTGGGGGGGGGGGATCTCCTAACAATTCTCAAACCATCCTTGTGCCAGGGCCTGAAGAGTTATTGGTGCTCTATGCCCTATAGATTGCGGCAAGCAGGACTCTCTACATGAAGTGTGAAGCTCATTGTAAGCTGAAAAAGAAAGGCACACATTCAAAAGTGTAAAAATTCAAGATGGCGGCAATAGAGCACTCGGCCAAGGACAGGAGGGAGGCCTCTGTATGCATGGGGCTCCCTCAGTACAACTAGGAGGAGTGATCCACCCAGCTGGTCCCAGTTATATGAAGATGCTGGGACTTCTAAATGGGTTGACTTCAGGAGGCCCCAAATAGACTCCCCTATTTTGCTTTGTGGGGTGAAGTATATAAGAAGCCTATGCATGGAAGGAAATGCTGAACTGGTTGTGTGAAGAGATACTTGTAGTCAGATTTTTTTTCCTTTGGGCTGCCAGCTCATAAATAACAACACATAGAAGTCTTATTAATTATGAAAGCTCTGCCTGTAGCTTAGGCTTGTTCTTAACTAGCACTTATAACTTAAATTAACCTATTTATATTGGTCTACATTCTATCTTGCACCTCCTGTTTCCTCTCCATGTCTGGCTGGCAACACCCCCTTCCTTTTCTTCCAGCATTCTCTCTGTTCCTGGAAGTCCCACCTAACCTCTTCCTGCCTAGCTATTGGCCATTCAGCTCTTTATTAGGTCAATCACAGTGACACATCTTCACACACTGTACAAATATCCCACAACAGATAACAGACTATAAAATACCAGTTAAAATCATATCAGTTGACTCCTTGCCAACACCTTGGCCCCTTCTCCCAGCTACCAGGGAAACTGCCCTCAAAACCAGGCTCTGTGATCAGTTTCCCATGATTAAAATTGTGTACTACTTTTAAGAAGAAAAACGAAACATTCCACCATGACATAGAACAACATCGTCTACTTTCCCTCAAGGCTCCCTTAGTGTGCCCTGTTTAATCCTCCTTCCCTATCTCTCTTCACTTATAGGAATTATTCTATGCAGAGTCCTTGCTTCAGTGTCTTGATTCTCACAGCCCCCAGACACATTCCCTAATAACCTAGCCGCTGGTATTGCTACCTACAAACTATGATTACTTCCCTCACAACACCCAAAGCCAGGAAACCGGTCTTCCTACCCCACATCTCTGTCACTCTAAGGTATGGACTGTATCTCCAGGACACATGACTCAGAAATATTTGATTTCTATGAGTTGATAATTACTGGGGAGAAAATGTATAAATTACCATTACATCGGATCTTTAGGAGGAAGAGTAAATTCATGACTCAGAAGAAAGCACACATTGCTGTTAAGGTTTTACAGTTTAAACTCTGGCAGATGGAGTGCAGTATCTTCAAGGGAAACCTTTCTGATACTTCATATTTACTATGTTCTTGCAGAGTGTGCCACTATCCAAAAAATGAATCTTTAAGAGTTAGGTATGCTGAGGCTGGAGAGATGGCTCAGTAGTTAAGAGCACTGGCTGTTCTTCCAGAGGACGCAGGTTCAATTCCTACCACTCACATGTTGGCTCACAATGGCTTATAACTTCAGTGCCAAGGAATTTGACACCCGCTGCTGGCCAGAGATACACATTGTGCCCAAGCATACATGCAGGCAAAACACCCACACCAATAGAAATAAATAATTAAATAAAATGTTAAAGTTAGTTATGCTTCTCAGTGAGGGGACATTCCCGAGTCTTACTTTCTACCCTCAACCCAGTTCAACTGGCAAGGTGAACACATTTGATCTGGCTTGGGGAGAAGAAGAAAGTTTATCCCAGAAGGAATTGTTTTGGGATCATCCCTATTTTCATCCAAAATGAAAAAGAAAAAAAAAAAAAAAAAGGGAAGGATCAGCATTTCTTGAAACAGAAGCTCAGCCATTTTTATTTTCCAGGTCTGAGGAAAGAGAAAGATGCTTAAAAATGGGATTCAAGCTTTGAGGACCGCAGAGGGGGCTTTTCAGATCAAAAAAAGAAAAGCTTCTAGAGCCAGAGAGATTAAGAACACTGGCTCTTCTACCTGACTGCCCAAGTTTGGTTCATAGCACACACGTGGGGTGGTTCCCAACCACGTGTAACTCTAGTTCCACGCTCTTTCGGCGTCCTCGGGTACCTGCACACATGTGGCTCACGTGTACATAAATAAACGTCTACGTGAATCTTCAAAATGTTTAGATGTTCTCAGAAGAAACGGGACTGAATTTAGTAAGGGTGAGGGGAAGCCCAGATCCGGGAGATACAAGGAGAGAAGGGGGAAGGAGGAAATGGCAAGTGGGAGACTGGGGATGGAGGGAGGCAGGATGACGATGGGGGAGGTGGGAAGAAGTGCGGGGTGAGAAGAGGTTAGAAAACATCAAGACCGGAGACAGGAAGTTAGGGGCCTTCACAGTTTACTACGCAGCAGCATTTCCTGTAAGGGCAATATCAGGGAAGGCTCTCTATGCTTCCAGCTTGATTTCTTCATCTTTCCTCCCCCCCCCCCCCAGGCTGAGGGAGACCCTGGGACAGAGCTCGGTGGCTGCCATGGAAGCAGAGAATTCGCCTCTGCATTTTTCTTGGACTCCGAGGCAGCATTAAAGCCACACAGTCATTTGTCATTTTATGGTTTAGAACATGTCCACGACAGTCACCACTGGAATTTCGAAGTAAGCATTTGGGTTCCTTTCCATGGCATTCCAGAAGCAAGTGGTCGAGAGCTGTCAGTTTACACAGGCTGTTCTTAGTCGAGAAGCACCACTCTGGGCTGACTGATTCAGTTCAAGCAATGCCAGCATGTGCGAAGACATTCAGGTCACGTGCACTCGAGTAGCCAGTCTTATGCTCAGAACTGGAAGTTTTTAAAGATTCTTTTTTACTTGTGTGTGTGTGGGGTGGCTGCACATGCACATATTGGGGGCCTTGCTGGTGAGGCTAGAAGAGGGGTCAGATCCCCTGGAGCTGGAATTGCAGGCTGTTGTGAGCCCTCCGATATGGATGCTAGGACCTACATTTGGGTCCTCTGGAAGAGCAGCAAGCCCTTTGAACTGCTGAGCCATCTCTCCAGTCCCATATGCCATATGCATATATCTGAAATAAAGTAAAGGTATTAATTGAGTTATTTGCATTTTTCTTAGCAACTCACAGTTTGGCTCCTAATTAGTGGGTATTCTTTCTGTTAAAAATGGTATCACCTGATCACCTTACTCCTGTCAGAATGGCTAAAATCAAAAAACAACAAGGACAGTTTATGCTGGGAAAGACATGGAGAAAGGGGAACACTCTTGTGCTGCTGGTGGGAGTGTACACTTGTACAGCAACTTTGAAAATCAGTATGCAGGTTCCTCAGGAAAATGGGAATCAGTCTACCACAAGATTCAGCAACTACATTCTTAGGCATATACCCAAAAGATGCACACCCATGCAACAAAGACATCTGTTCAACTATGTTCATAGCAGCATTATGCGTAATAGCCAGAACCTGGAAGCAACCTAGATGCCCCTCAGCTGAAGGATGGATAAAGAAGATGTGGTACATTTACACAATGGAATACTACTCAGAAAAAAAAAAATAACAAAAAGACAAACGTAGTATGTACTCACTCATATATGGAGTTTAGACATAGAACAAAGGATCGCCATGCTACAATCCACATGCCAGAAGAGCTAGGAAACAAAGAGGACCCTAAGAGAGACATATATGGTCCACAGAGAAGGGGAAAGGGACAAGGTCTCCTGAGCAAATTGGGAGCAGGAGGTAGGGGATAAGGAGTCAGGAGAAAGAGAAGGGGAGAAGAGGACACCAGGGAGCAGGAAGATTGAGTCAGGGGAAGAATAGAGGAGAGTAAAAAAAGAGATACCATAATGAAGGGAGCCATTATAGGTATAAAGAGAAATCTGCCGCTAGGGAAATGTACAGAGACCTACAAGAATGACCCCAACTAACAATCTAAGCAATAGTGGAGAGGCTACCTTAAAAGTCCTCCGCTGATAATGAGATTGATGACTACCTTATATGTCATCCTAGAACCTTCATCCAGTGCTGATGGAAGCAGAAGCAGACACCCACAGCTAAACACTGAGCTGAACTCCTGGAATCCAGTTGCAGAGAGGGAGGAGTGATGAATGAAGGGGTCAAGACCAGACTGGAGAAACCCACAGAATCAGCTGATCTGAACAAAGGGGAGCTCATATTCTCGAGTCTGATGGCTGGGAAACCAGCATAGGACCAACCCAGACCCTCTGAACATGGATGTCAGTTAGGAGGCCTGGGCAGTCTATGGGGCCTCTGGTAGTTGATCAGTATTTATCCCTAGTATGTGAATGGACATTGGGAGTCTATTCCACATAGAGTGATACTCTCTCAGCCTAGACACATGGGGGAGTGCCTGGGCCCTGCTCCAAAAGATAAGACAGACTTTAAGACTCCCCATGGAAGTCTGATCCCTGGGGAGCAGAAAGGGGATAGGATGGGGGTTGGTGGGGGCAGGGGAGTAGGAGAGGGAGAGGGACCTGGGATTGACATGTAAAACAAGCTTGTTTCTAATTTAAATTTTAAAAATAGAAAAGAAAAATGGTAGCATCAGGAAAGACAGTGGAAGACCTTAAAATGGAAGAAACCCAGGATCACCCTGTCAGCAGAATGCTGAGTGGAACCTCAGAGATCTTTCAGTGAGGGGGGGTGTGATTCTATAGGGGCTTATCTTTCTTGTTATCGCTGGCCATTTTGTAACTATTCTTTATGGTGCAGTAAACGATTCTCATTTTAGAAATGGAAATTCGTTTTGTTTGGTGGAGCGCAGGGTAAATGATGTATATATGTTCTGAGCATTATATTTTCGATCATTATAGGTATTATCTAGTTGTGCATGTAATAGCAAATGCAATTTCACCTTTATGACCATCTATGTATACATATAGCTGCTCTTCAGATTTCCCTTCGGACATACTTAAATGCCTTACATCTCCCTTTATTAATTCATGAAATAGAGGCAACCTCTGTTGTGCATTTATTTCATATTAAGGTAAGAATTACGATTTTGGCCATTTTGAAAATGATCTTTGGAAACAAGGGAGATGGTAACGTTGCTGACAGCGTGTAGATTCAACAATTTCCAGTGGCAGGCTCTTTGCTTAAAATGTTCTGACTAGGTTCTGATGGTCCCTGACTACCTAAAATAAAAGCAGAGACCAAACAAAGCATGTTGATTGTTAAAGTAAAATCACAAGAGAACAAGTGGCCAAATGGGGACAGCTAGCTCTCACCTGCTCGGGCACAGAGAGGAACCAAAGCAACAGGTGTATGGGGACATTTGAGGTCGGTGATTGTGGGCAAGGCCTGGAGATCAGCAAGAGAGAGGCTGGAACCTTGTAAGATACACAAAGCTGAGATAGCAGCAGCGAAGGAACAGAAATACCCAGCATCTGCCACTGTGGCTCCGCGACTCTGAGAGTCTCTCTTGTTCAGGCATGTAGAGAATTCCAGCAAGTTCCAGTAGGAAGCATCATAATCTCCCCAGGCCTCTAACCCACTAGATAAGCGACCTGACTGCACAGGGTCTCAAATCATCATCTCCCAGTGAACCCTCAGGGTGTTATGACAAGGCCTGATCTCCCCACCCCAACACCATTTTATTTTATGTGCATGAGCGTTAAGCCTGAATGTATGCTTTTGCTTAAGTGAATACAGTGCCTGTAGAGACCATTAGAGGATATTGGATTCCCTGGGACAATTGACAGATGGTTGTGAGCTGCCATGTGAGTGCTAGGAATTGAATGTAGGTCCACTTGCAAGAGCAACCAGTCCCCCATCTCTCTCTCTGTTAAGACAGGGTTTTGCTATTTAGTCTTGGTTGTCCTGGAACTCACTCTGTAGACCAGGCTTGTCTCAAACTCACAGAGATCCACCTACCTCTGCCCTCCCAAGTCCTGGGATTAAAGGCATTTGGTACCACCCCCCAGCTCAGCCAGTGCTCTTAACTGCTAAACCATCTCTCTAGTCCCATAATGAACTATGTTGAAAAGAGAGGCTAGAGAGACTGGATAGGTTCAAAGCTGAATTCATATGATCTTTTCAGTGCTTAAAAATGTCCCTAAGGTCATGAACATTCAAGTACACCGTTAACTGGACCACAACATCAGCTTTTGATACTGGATTTTTGCCAAACTTTTAAAGAAGTTGGTCCCAGTTCTTCTCAGGCCATTCCATAAAACTGAGATAAAAGGAACTCTTCCAAATTCTTTCTGAGGCCAGCATCACCCTGCTACAAAAACTAGACAAGGACACAACAACAACAAACTATGGACCAGTATCCCTGATGAACACTGATGCAAAATTTCTCAAGCAAAATGCTTGCAAATCAAACTGAGTAGTGTATAAAAATGTCTTTCATCATGGTCAAGTTGGTGTGTCTTTCCAGGTGTGCAAGGAGGCTTAAACATATGCAAATCAATAAGAATTACAATGTCTCACAAGAACTGATAAAGATCATGGTGACCTCAATAGATGTCAAATATCACTCAATGAATCCAGCATCAAGAAGCTGAGGAGCTGGCTCAGTGCATGCTGTGCAAATGTAAGGACTTGAGTTTGGATTCCCAGCAGCCAAGTAAAAAGTTGGCTGTGGTGGTTGGTGTATGCTTGTTACCCAAGAAGTGGGAAACAGAGAAAGATCAATCCCAGGGCTTGCTGACCAACCATCCTAGCCAACTCTTAGTTGACAGTGACTATCTGAAAGAGAATGGGGAAAGTGAGAGAGGATGGCACCTGACAAGGACCTGTGAACACACGTGAACACACATGGAATTCATACTTGCATGTA